AGGGCTCTTTCACACAGGAGGCTTGGGGGTAGTAAAAACAGGCAGCTGTTGTCATGGTTTTACCACTTGGTCACTTCTGCCATCTCTTGTCTGTTTCTATTAACCATTGCCATATGTGTATCTTTTAATTTTTTTAAATTTAATTTATAAAATACTCTTCACTTTTTTTTTTCCTTCTTGGTTGCATCTCAGTGCTGCTGATTTCTTGCAGCCCCTTTTCACCCTTCCTGTCTACTAGCACTCAAGAAAAATTGGTCAAGGTTGGTTTCCCGATGGTGACCGCATTGGATCATGCCATGATCATGGATCATGTCTTCATCGGGGCAGTGTGTGTGACAAGGTGACAATGCAGAAAAGTAATTGGGGGACAAGGACAGAGTACGCTATAAAAAAAAAAAAGTGTTTGCACAGAGACCATTCATGTCAGGATCAGCAGTGATTTAAAAGAAAGCCACAGATATTTTAAAATATTAAAATTATTATGATACAGGATTTATATATTTATTATTATTATTATGATACAGGATTTATATATTATTATTATTATTATTAATATTATACAGGATTTATATATATTATTATTATGATACAGGATTTATATTATTATTATTATACAGGATTTATATTATTATTATTATACAGGATTTATGATTATTATTATTATACAGGATTTATATATTATTATTATACAGGATTTGTATATTATTATTTAGTTTTTTTATTATTATACAGGATTTGCACAAATGTCTTTTCCTGTTATTATTATTATTATTATACAGGATGTCTTTTTATATATTATTATTATTATGATACAGGATTTATATATTATTATTATGATACAGGATTTATATATTATTATTATACAGGATTTATGTTATTATTATTATACAGGATTTATGTTATTATTATACAGGATTTGTTATTATTATTATACAGCATTTTATATATTATTATTATTATTATTATGATACAGGATTCGACTCTTCTTATTCTTTGGAGACAGCAATACGCCTATATGGCACGGATAGTGTGCGTCTTATATTGTCTGGGCTGAAACTTCTGTATTAGTTACAGGATTTATATAGCGCAGTCGAAGTCAACAGTTTTGCCCTCAGCGCTTTACAATCTTCTTATAGCCATTGCCCTTCCTGTGAAGAGGGAGACTTCTCTTGTCTTCCTGGACCATTCTCTTGCCTTACAGTTTGTAAACAATACAGAGCTGAGTATCACAATACAAGATGGGCCCTGATCTTGGGAGCTTACAATCTAGGAGATGACTTGACATTATTAAAATATTAAAGCTTACAAGAGTCCTTGTGTGTAATGATTTGGGTTTACCATCTGTACACATTTATACATTTATTAGTTATTAGTTATTATACACATTTTTTAATATTTTTATACATTTATTGTCTACACACGGGGAGGAATTTTTTTTTAATACATTTATTGCTCACACACGGGGAGGGAGACTCCTACTGCATTCCTGGCCACTGAGATTTGGGAGCTGTATAGACCTGCGCTATGGTTGTGTTTCTGCCCCCTCTCCTCTTGGCTGTTGGGGTGTGTGCTTTTTTATGAATGAATTTAATTTAATATTGTTGTTTTTTGTTTTTTGGGGGGGTTTTTTTTGAATGTGCCTGGATTTTTCGGTTTTAAGTTTGATACATTGTTGCTACACAACATTCATTCTACTTTTTAGCCACCTCTGATCCATAACATGATCTGTGTGATCCCTTTTACTTGGGGCTCCTCTTAGCTGCCATTATTCAAACTCAGCCACTGCGACAAGATATGCAGTGTCGTTCAAAGGATGACTTTCAGGCAGAGTCAGCGAATCTGTAGCTTTGACTGAAAACAGGTCCCACCCCTAAGTTCTGCCACAGCGGTGTTCACTTGCTGGCTGCTGATAGGCAGGCATAACACACCTTCAATTATAGGGCTGCTGCTTAGGGGCAATAAGCTTTATTTAATGTCAATTTAGTACACACTTAAAACCATTGAAAAAGAAGAATAATCAACATTTTCTTTCAGAAATACATAATTTACTTGTCTGATTTAAACTGTAAATTATCCAGCCATTATCTTCTGTATGGCAATTTTCCTGCACATGCATAGTATCCATCTTTTGGGTGAACCAGGAAGGCTTGGCGTTCTTGGTGTGACATCTGCCCATCAGCCAGCCTGAATCCGTTTTTTATTTTATTTTATTATTTTTTTTTGCTGTCAGCTGCAGTTGCCTTTGTTGAAACAGCTAACGATCAATAACATCATCCTGACTCTTAGCCTTTGAATTATCCGCAATTGACCGCCGGAAGTGTTGGATTAGCCCTGCAGAGAGCACCAACAAATTTTACTATTATACAAAGATAACCCAAGTAAATACAAAATGCAGCTTTTAAATGATTTGTGAATAATGGCTCACACCATGGTTCGCTGGAGTCCCAAAACCTTAGAAATGGCTTTGTAACCCTTTCCCGACTGATACATGTCAATGACTTTGTTTAAGCTTGCTTCACTTTGTCAGGCAGCTCCTATTTTAAGTGATCACTTGCTTCAACAGGTCTGGCAGTAATCAGGCCTGAGTGTGGCAAGTGAAATTTAACTCCGCTCAAAATTTGTTTGATCTGAATCATTTAAGTGTGACAAATATGAAGAAAAAAAAAAAATATCCCAAAGGGGGCAAATACTTTTTCTCAACACTGTTCATCTTATTTCCCACTGTTGCTACAAATGTATATTGTAATATGATTATTTTTGGCATTTTTTAAATTGTTTAAATTCAACATAGTAGAAGCTGGAATTGTGATAATTAAAATCTTCGGTCCTCCAAGTACTATTATATGTTGTCATCACTATAAAATATAGTTTCTTAATCAGTTGTCATAGTCACAGGTTGAAGCCTTTACTCTGGTTTCCATAACAACGCATCAAATCTATTGCAGATGGAGTAATGACTGGTAGTATAGGAAATGTCATTATCTGATAAGAGGAGTAAATTCTTGAAAGAAGTAACTGTGATGGATGTCAGCAAAGAATAAGTGTGGTAATAGACACTGAAGAATAGAGACAAGATTTGTACAATGCAAACCTGAAAATGTGAACTGCTATTTAGAGCCAGAGAGGAAGGAAATCAGAAGCTTTCATGTCTACCTGCTAAAGGATTCATATTTCTGTCTAGTTAGTCCTGAGATTTGCACAGCTGGGTTGGTGACGTGACTGCTCTCTACTGCAATTAGGCGAAACAGCTGGGTCATTTTCCTTTTCACAAACTGTAATAAGGGCCATGAAGGCATAGTGATCGAGATCACCCCTATGCTCTCTCCTCCTGTCTGCATCTTCTCTCACAGTAGATGTGAATGCAGCTCCCCTGGTTCTGCTCTTCCCTCTTTCAGTCTTAGCGCTGCTATACAGGGGGAAAACAGGAGTCAGGTACTATGTCTAAGCCATGTGTTTTCAGCTTTTGCATTTAAAAATAAAGGGTGTTGAACAAAACTATGGAAACACCAGGTAAAAGAATGAAATTGTTACCTAAATGGTGTTGGATCGCCTTTGGCTTCCAAGAAGGCCTGGGAATTGACGAATATAAGTCTTGGAAGGTGGATAATGGAATTGGATACCACTCTTCATGCATAAATGCCAAAGGCAGAAAACAAGACTGAACCTTATTCTCCAAAATTGACCATAGTGGCTCTCCCCATGGAGTGCACATGGTCAGCCAACATTTGTACTTACTTGCTGGCAGTGACTCTACCTTTCAAGCTGATGATGGGACCTACAAAATACCGAGATATGGCTGCCCAAACCATGATTGAACCTCCACCATGCTCCATGCTTTACCGTTGGCACAAGACAGTCCTGGTCGCAAGCTTGGGAAGATGTTTGCCACGCGTAAAAACGTTCGGTGGTGTGAAGCTCGATTCATCAGACCATATTACAGTCTTCCATTGATAGCTAGTCCACAATTTATGGGAGTTGCACCACTCTCTCCTCTTCTAAACATTAATATTGGTCACTAGTGGTTTGGCAATAAGAGCTCGCCCATGAATGTTTTTGCTTATGGAGTTCCCTTGGCACAGTTTTTGTGGACACGAGCTTTGGAAGACTGAGATTGAGCTCTGCAGTCACTTTTGTCCTTTTTCTTATTCCGGGTCACAATCCTGTACAATGTCCTCAGTTGGTCAGTTGACTATATCGACCTGGCTTATGCTAATCAGTTGACCTTTTCCCAGAAACTGCATATGCCTTTATAACCTTTGATACTGCACCTCACGACACTGCATATATTGTCAACTTCAATCATAGAGGCACCAGCTAAGCGGCACCAACAATTTGCCCTCTTTGAAGCTCTGTAAGTTCTGATATGACTCCATATTACTAGCAGCGTGAATGACAAAAGTGAGGCTTCCCACCTGTTTAGCAAGGTGGCTCATCACACAGCAGAAGCAAAAGAATGTTACATCACTTTCAATGTGAAACATCATCCCTTTCACACATACAAATAATGAAGTTTCCAGATTTCTTTCCAACCCTTGTACATTTAATTGTGTCACTTGTAATAATTCCTTATCTGCCTTAATTGCTTTTTATATCTGTCCTCAAAGTAAACCTGAAATGCAAAGCTGTTCATATAGACCTTGTTTTAAAGTGCTAGTTACCTGGCTACTAACGTAGACTTCTGTCTTGAATACTTTTTGAGCCACTAGCCTGGAACTAGGATGCAGGTCAGGAAAGCCAGAGAGCTGTCAAGAGTCATTAACTGCATGCTTGTCCTAGGTAAGTTTTTTTTCAAAAACATTGAAGCCAGAGGGTTAGAAGGAATGCCAGACAGCTAGCATTTTCTAAAGGAGAGGTCAACTATGGCAGCCTCCATGTATCTCTGACAAGAATCCTTTAATGAGGATCTAAGACTGAACACTGTTGTAGGTTGTAGACAATGATAATTTCCAGTAGACATATCACACCAACACTTTCCTCCTCCTTGTTCTTTGTTCTTCTAGGTGTTACGTGATGTTCTCCTGGAGCTGTACCGCCTGCTCAAGTTTGTGGTTCAGTGTGAATCGGACTCTGTGTCTGTTCTTCATGCCCAGCTAGGCCTGGAGGAACTGGACTCTATCATGAGAGCTTTTCTATTCCCACCACAGAAGCTGGAGAAGAAAATTGTTGTTTTACCATAATAGACATGACGCTCATCTGGAAACATCTTCTATCACCAGAAAAAGAAACCGGTTAAGGCTTTTTTAGTAGAACCACTCCAGAGAGACTGCCCTGCGGAGTTTGCCTCCTGAAACTGCTGTTTCCTTGGCTGATCCAATGATGTGTAGATTTAAGTATATCCAACGCCAACTTTTTTGCCATTTTGGGTAGAATAAAGAAGGGTAAAAATATTGTCAATTTGTTTTTCTACATTGCTTCCTGACCTGTAGGCACAACAGGAAATTGGAGGAATTCCTCCCAAAGTGATATAGTTATCCTTTTAAGAAGATGTCACTGGAAAAAGTGCCCCATTGAAAGATTTCTCTTCTTGTTCTGATGCCAGCTCAGAATATAAAATTTGCCCATCCTTTTGGCCTTGATGACCATGGTCATCAGGAATATTAAGGAAAATAATTCTTCCTAACGGGTACAGCAATAAAAACCTGAACAAGGTTCTAAACACTCACCACTCTATCCAAATCTAAAAATGAACTAAAGTTTGGGCTTTTAATATACTTTAACCATTTGCCGCCCGCCCTATGGCCAAACGGCGGCCGGCAAATGTCATCAGCGTTCCGGGTGGACGCCATATGGCGTCTACCCGCACATGCGCAGATTGCGCTCCTGCAGAGCCGCACAGCGGCGTGATCTGTCACCAGCCGTGTACCTCGGACATGGCCAATGACAGACCTGAGTATCGGCCCCCGTTGCCGGTACCATGTGACCTGCTGTGACCAATCACATCAGGTCACATGACAGTTGTATACAATGGATGGCTTCATTCATGCCATCCATTGTATACTAGTGTCTAGCTGTGAATGGTCACAGCTAATCACATGCACATGTCATGTGATTAGCTGTGGCCAAATAACAGCTAAGCACAAAAAAAAAAAAAACCCTGAATGAATCGATGTCATTCAGGTAAATGCTTGCTTATAGCAAAGTAATTCTTTGCTATAAGCAAATTGTTTAAAAAAAAAAAATACTGATCACTTCCCCAAAGTAGTACAGTTTTACTATGGTAACATTGTACTACTTTGGTCATAGTGAAATATGAAAAAAAAAAATCTTAAAAAAATGTAATAAAAAAATATATATATATATTTTTTTTTTTTTTTCATACTGTCACCAGTCAGTGTCCCTGATCACCACCATGCCAGTTATATGATGACGCTGTACTGCACTGGTGACAGTATGTAAAAAAAAAATAGTGAAACAAATTTTTTTAATTTTTTCATTTTCCTAAAAATTATGACAAAAACAATGCAACTTCAAAAAACTCGCCATGCCTCTTATGAAGTGCGTCGGACTGTCTACTCTGCAAAAAGGGGTCATTTGGGGATATCTGTACTATTCTGACATTCTTGGACCTCAAGAAATTAGATTGGCTGTCAGTACTTCAGGATTGATCAATATTCAGATCTATACCATAGTTTGTGAACTCTATAACTTTCCTACAAACTAAAAAATACATCCTAATTTGGGTTATTTTCACCAAAGACATGTAGCAGAATACATCTTGGTCTAAATTTATGAAGAACAATTATTTATTTGCAAACTTTTATAACCGAAACAGAGAAAAACGTGTGTTTTTTTTTCAAACTTTTTGGACTTTTTTTGTTAATTTAGCAAAAATTAAAACCCCAGCGGTGATTAAATACCACCAAAAGAAAGCTCTAGTTGTGAAGAAAATGATAAAATTTTAGTTTGGGTACAATGTTGTATGACCGCGCAATTGTCATTCAAAGTGTGAGAGTGCTGAAACCTGAAAACTGGCCTGGGCAGGAAGGTGTAAAAGTGCCCGGTATTGAATTGGTTAAAGCACAACGTCAGGCCCAGTAACCGTACCTCGGTTGAAGCAGTTAAAATGTTCTTAGCCTCAAAAGCTAAGAAGTCTCCCATCACGCTGGATTTTTTCTACATCTGTCAGATCTGCATATTAACATGCTGGGATTATTCAAGATTCCATTGTACTTCCATGCCGCTGTGAATGTACGTGCTGCAGTACTCAGACCCAAGCATTATGATCATGATTCCATGCTCCCATCCTCCTGGCTGTTCGCAAAACACATAGTCCCAGGCTTTGTTTTGTTAATAAAATAACATCGAAAATCTGCTCTGGTTCAAAGAGAACACATAACCATAAATTCTGATACATAGAATTTGCAAGGCATATAATTATAAGTGTGGCGCTAAAAGTGCAAGAAACAATCTGATAAGAGTAAATAAAGCATAAGTAAAGACAAAAGTGACAACACTGACAGATATGTGGAAAAATTATTGCAAAAAAACAAAGTGAGGAAAGAATGGAAGTCCCAATGCCAAAAGAGAACTAAAAGGTATCTTGAAGTGCAATCTTAGATCTTCGGTTGCTAGATGATCAAACATATCCATGTGAACCACGTGTCACCCCACTCCATGCGCAAAGGATTGCCAGATATATTTGACCATCATATTATAGAGTGGTCAAAATGGGTACAAGAACAATCCTATGGCAACCCCTCCAACCTCCTTCCTAATCTCCAGTGATGGTTCAGATGGTGTTCACCAACTCCACATGGATCATCAGTGCATGCGTAGTCAGACATATAGGTACCTCTGACATAAAGGTCATAAACACATGAGGACAATCCAGGGTAACTGTCAGATGAACCCCCTCAGGCAGGCATCAGAACTCCTCAAAAACATCATAAATAGTCTTGAAGTTCGACCTACAAATTAGCCATTTAGCCACTGTGCCAACATGAGCAGAACTCATAGGGGAGAGACCCTGGGCAGTGGGTGAAATAGCACCAAAACATTCCCCCAAAAAGGCATAATCCAAATGCACTTTTAGAAGGACTGTGTAGCCTCCAAATTCTGATCCATGTGATATTCCTTCCACGTGCTATATCTTCATTGAATCTTTAGGAGGCTCTCATCTGTCAGGTGTGCTATCCAGGAAGGTTCCCAGAAACACCGTTACCAATCACACACCATTTGTTTTGTGAATGGCCAGGAGAAGAAGGACACAAACAGAGCACTTTTGCAACGGTCAGGGAGTAAAGTGGGAGCTCTACTAACCCTGACATGTAAACTAGCAAATTTTGAAAGATGTAGACAGCATGACAGAAGATGGCTTTGGAGGCAAAAAAAAAATTTTATATATATTATTTTTATTTTTTTTATTATATTTTTTTTAAATCCATAAAAGCTTTTATTTAAAAAAGAACAGCATATATAATAATGATAGGTACCATCACCACAATACAATGTAGTCAAGTATTGATAAAATAACAAGGTACAAACATAGTTAACTTTTCCAAGAAGACTATAGACTAGGATCTAATATATCAATATTTCCAAAAAAAGATACTGTACTTTGTGGAAGAAATGGAACAGAGCAAAAGGTATATATCTGTAAATTGGACATCTCAGCAAATCTATTAAAAGCAGGACACCCTTTATGAATCCGTCTGGTTAAATAATGAAGATGGAAATAAGTCACAGTGAACGGAAGCAAGGAAGACAAATAACAAGCTTGGGGGGGTGCACAACCGTTTCTCTGGGGTTCAGAGAGATTACAGATTTATTTCAGATACTTCTATAGCACCGTCAATTTACGCAGCACTTTACATATTGTACATTCACATCAGTCCCTAACCCTCAAGGGGTGTACAATCTAAGGTCCCTAACTCACATTCATACATACACATACTAGGGCCAATTTAGACAGGATCCAATGAACCTACCAGCATGTCTTTGGAGTGTGGGAGGAAACTGGAGTACCTGAAGGAAACCCACGCAGGCACAGGGAGAACATGCAAACTCCAGGCAGGAGGAGCTGTGGCTGGGATTCGAACCAGTGACCCTAGTACTGCCAGGCAGAAGTGCTAACCCCTTAGCCACTGTGCTGCCCAGTTAGAGATCACGTGATTTTCGGGGGAATCGGACATACAGCTACTTTCAAAAGGAGCGCGGGATCTATAATACAAGAATTTGTTTAACTGCTTCACTCATGTTATTGTGTTCTGAGTTGGGCTTTAAATCTCGGCTTCATGCTGACTCCGCTGATTTGCATTCTTGTTCCAGGATAGTGACTCAGAATGTGCTGAGGACAGACAGGAAATGAGAATTTTATGAAGAGAGCCACAAAAGGGGCTCCATATTTCCCTCCATACATGAGACTTCTGCCTCTGTTCAGTCACATTTTGATTTCTTTTTTCAAACCTTAGAGATGATTCTCCACTTTACTGCTGTCATTCACACATTGCCACACACAGAAAAAACCGGTCACCCCACATAAAATTGTGAAAGACTTCCCAAATTTTGCAATGTAGAAATAATTTTTAAGTTTTGATTCCCTAGAAACCTATTTCCTGTGGATCAAGTCTGAACAAAACCTTGAGTTAAAGTATCTCTAAAGCCCAAACATTTTTTTTTTTAAGTTTTGGAATGAGTACGGAATGGTTAAAAACCATGCAGTTTTGTTTTTGGTTTTTTTTGGTGGGGGGTTCTTTCAGTACTTGTCCTGTAAACACAACAGGAATTAAAGTGTTACTAAACCCTGAACCCTGCAGTCACTATATCTGGTCTCCTTGGACCCTGCATTCACTATATCTGGTCTCCCCGGACCCTGCATTCACTATATCCAGTCTCCCCGGACCCTGCATTCACTATATCTGGTCTCCCCGGACCCTGCATTCACTATATTCGGTCTCCCCAAACCCTGCATTCACTATATCTGGTCTCCCCGGACCCTGCATTCACTATATCTGGTCTCCCCGAACCCTACATTCACTATATTCGGTCTCCCCAAACCCTGATTCACTATATCTGGTCTCCCCGGACCCTGCATTCACTATATCTGGTCTCCCCGGACCCTACATTCATTATATCTGGTCTCCTGGGACCCTGCATTCGCTATATCTGGTCTCCCTAGACCCTACATTTGCTATATCTGGTCTCCCAGGACCCTGCATTCGCTATATCTGGTCTCCCCGGACCCTGCATCCACTATATCTGGTCTCCCAGGACCCTGCATCCACTATATCTGGTCTCCCTGGACCCTACATTCACTATATCTGGTCTCCCTGGACCCTACATTCGCTATATCTGGTCTCCCAGGACCCTGCATTCACTATATCTGGTCTCCCCGGACCGTGCATCCACTATATCTGGTCTCCCAGGACCCTGCATTCACTACACTATATCTGGTCTCCCCGGACCCTGCATTCACTATATCTGGCCTCCCCGGACCCTGCATTCACTATATCTGGTCTCCCTGGACCCTGCATCCACTATATCTGGTCTCCCAGGACCCTGCATTCACTACACTATATCTGGTCTCCCCGGACCCTGCATTCACTATATCTGGTCTCCCTGGACCCTGCATTCACTAGATCTGGTCTCCCTGGACCCTGCATTCACTAGATCTGGTCTCCCTGGACCCTGCATTCACTAGATCTGGTCTCCCTGGACCCTGCATTCACTAGATCTGGTCTCCCTGGACCCTGCATTCACTAGATCTGGTCTCCCTGGACCCTGCATTCACTAGATCTCTGGTCTCCCTGGACCCTGCATTCGCTATATCTGGTCTCCCTGGACCCTACATTCGCTATATCTGGTCTCCCCGGACCCTGCATTCGCTATATTCGGTCTCCCCAAACCCTGCATTCACTATATCTGGTCTCCCCGGACCCTGCATTCACTATATTTGGTCTCCCTGGACCCTGCATTCACTATATCTGGTCTCCCCGGACCCTACATTCATTATATCTGGTCTCCTGGGACCCTGCATTCGCTATATCTGGTCTCCCTAGACCCTACATTCGCTATATCTGGTCTCCCAGGACCCTGCATTCGCTATATCTGGTCTCCCCGGACCCTGCATCCACTATATCTGGTCTCCCAGGACCCTGCATTCACTATATCTGGTCTCCCTGGACCCTACATTCACTATATCTGGTCTCCCTGGACCCTACATTCTCTATATCTGGTCTCCCAGGACCCTGCATTCGCTAAATCTGGTCTCCCCGGACCGTGCATCCACTATATCTGGTCTCCCAGGACCCAGCATTCACTACACTATATCTGGTCTCCCCGGACCCTGCATTCACTATATCTGGCCTCCCCGGACCCTGCATTCACTATATCTGGTCTCCCTGGACCCTGCATCCACTATATCTGGTCTCCCAGGACCCTGCATTCACTACACTATATCTGGTCTCCCCGGACCCTGCATTCACTATATCTGGTCTCCCCGGACCCTGCATTCACTAGATCTGGTCTCCCAGGACCCTGCATTCACTAGATCTGGTCTCCCTGGACCCTGCATTCACTAGATCTGGTCTCCCTGGACCCTGCATTCACTAGATCTGGTCTCCCTGGACTCTGCATTCGCTATATCTGGTCTCCCTGGACCCTGCATTCACTATATCTGGTCTCCCTGGACCCTGCATTCACTATATCTGGTCTCCCTGGACCCTGCATTCGCTATATCTGGTCTCCCTGGACCCTACATTCACTATATCTGGTCTCCCCAGACCCTGCATTCACTATATCTGGTCTCCCTGGACCCTGCATTCACTATATCTGGTCTCCCTGGACCCTACATTCGCTATATCTGGTCTCCCAGGACCCTGCATTCGCTATATCCGGTCTCCCCAGACCCTGCATTCACTATATCTGGTCTCCCCGGACCCTGCATTCGCTATATCTGGTCTCCCTGGACCCTGAATTCACTATATCTGGTCTCCCTGGACCCTACATTCGCTATATCTGGTCTCCCAGGACCCTGCATTCACTATATCTGGTCTCCCTGGACCCTGCATTCGCTATATCTGGTCTCCCTGGACTCTGCATTCACTATATCTGGTCTCCCACAGTACACAACATGGAAATGCAATTATTTTAGTAAATATATATAGTTACATAGTTAGTCTGGCTGAAAAAAGACTAAAGTACATCCAGTTCAACCATTAAAAAAAAAAAAGTTATAATCCTACACCCACAGTTGATTCAGAAGGCAAAAAACCCAGCAAAGCATGATCCAATTTGCTCCTGCAGGGGAAAAAATTCCTTCCTGATCCCCCGAGAGGCAATCTGATATTCCCTGGATCAACTTTACCTATAATTGTTAGTATCCAGTTATATTCTGTGTATCTAAGAAAGAATCCAGGCCTTTTTTAATGCAATCCACTGAGCTGGCCAGAACCAACTCTTGAGGAAGTCTATTCCACGTTTTCACAGCTCTCACTGTGAAGAAACCTTTCCGTGTTTGTAAAGCAAACAGTTTTTGTTTCTTTTGGCATAAAGGTTTTATATAAAAGCTGACCATTGTAAGCACCCCTGTCAGTGTTGACTAGGTTGTCTCATCCATGGAAACTGATGCATCTGCAAGAGAGCTTGTTCTTGTGAAAAACAAGACTTACTAGCCAGATCACCAGGTCTTAAAAAAAAAAAACGAATACAGACATCACATCTAAGTCCTCGTGCACACGGGACGTTTTTACAGTTGCTGCTTTTGGCGTTTTTTTCTACAGCCAGTAAACTCCCCAGCATGTTATCCTGTGTCCATGCACACATAGGCTGCAATCAATGTTTTTTTGGCAATGGTGTGTTTTGGCTCAAAAAAAAAACAGAACTGGTGAGTTTCTAGGATTTTTTTAGCTGTAAAAACACTCTACACTGAAAAACGCAGCAAACCAGCGTTTCTGGGCTTTTTTTGAGCAAAAAAAAAAAATGTTTTTGTTAAAAAATTTAACGCAGCTAAACGCTAATGCAAAACCGCTGAAAAATTCATGTTTTTAATGTGACATTACACAGCTAACACTAGAATTGGTAAGCTGCAATACAATAAATGTTTGCTTTTGGGTTTAATACTGCTTTAATTGGAGTTGTATCTGATACAAGTTCTCCCTGACGATATTCTCTATGGAGGTGTTTTGTAGTTTGTTCAGTGACTGGTTGTTGTACTCGGCACTGCAGTCATCTACAAGCCATTCTGAACCATAAAAGGTGAGGAGGTGCAATACACGTACTTATAGGGTTCATGTACACTGCAGGCAGGAGCGGACTGACAACTCATGGGGCCCCCGGGCAATAGGGGATCATGGGGCCCCTGTGTCCTTGCCCAAACTCAAAAAAGCCTATGAAAAAGGTACCAGGGGCATCTCCTGGGGCCCCCTACTGACCCCGGGCCCTCGGGCAGTGCCTGAGTTTCCAAATGGTCAGTCCGCCCCTGACTGCAGCTGATAAACTCACGTTTAAGAGCTGTTCAGCAGTTTTTTTTTTCAGCTGCCCCTGAACTCTCCCTAATGTTTTCCTATGTGTCCATGTACACATCGTCATTTACAGGCATTTGAGTTTACATTCGTTTTTTTTGAACGCACCAAACTTGCGTTCAGCAGTTGATTTTATCAGTGTTTCAAATGCAAAACGCTTGTAAACGCGGCAAATTGCTTTTTATAAGCGTTTGAATTTTTTTTTACCTCTTCCAGTTCCCGATGCTCTCCAGAGCCTTTTTTCATCAGCATTTTTAAGGTACTCAGATGGACAAAACACTGAACACAGGATGTTCCTACCAAGCTTGTCACACATGGTAATGACCAATTCAAACCTCAGACCTCTCCCACCCTTGGAAACAAAAGATATGTTAATGACCATTCACACCTCAAATTCCTCATGAAGACCCCCTGCCAGGTAGCCTTAATGACTCCCTCCACCAGACACCTTTCCCACCCTTGGAAACAAAAGAAATGTTCTGAGCGAACTATTGGCGCTTTATAAATACTGTATAATAATAATGAGAAACTCACAGCTAACTAATCTCAACACCGCTGTCTACTCTCTGTATTTCTCTGAAACAGTCTCAAATAGTTAATAATTTACCACTTTTCAGTGCATTCTGGGCATTTGAAAGGTTCTCCTGTGCTTATGTTAAAAAAATGCTTCTAAACGCAAATGCACATAAACGCAGCTAAACAGACATTTTGTAACTTACGTTTTCCAGCAGTCAGCTTCCATGGTTCAGAAGTGTCCCGTGTGCATGGGGCCTTACCCTAGGTTCACACTTATGTGGATTTCAGTGCGTTTTCCAGTATGCAGAAACACACTACAATCCATTTTAACATGATTTCCCATGGATCTAAAACACAGCTATGCATTTTCAGCCTTTTTTAGAAAGGTCAAGGACTTTTTCTATTTTCCCTCACAGCAGATTGCATTTTGCGTGTAATAGACATCAATGGACCAAAAACACAACCCTAGCCATTAACCCTAACATGCAACTTTGGTCACATAAAGGCTCCTCCACTACTTTGATGTGACTTGAGTGCCAGAGAATGTAAAGTCGCATCAAAGCTGCACTATATGAACAGAACTGTCATACATTTCTATTAGCAAAAAAAAAACCCAAAATAAGCATATTTTAAAAAAAAAACGCAAAACATGTCGGAAAAGCACATCAACTGCAACCTGCATAGATGTGAACCTAGCCTTAAGATGGTTACCAAGGGGCAACTTGAACCCTTTTCAAAAGAACTCAGCTGGATGCATAAAAAAACTCATATCTAAATATTAGCAGAACTGTTGAAATCAATAGTGTTTTATATAAATGTATCATGTGGATAAATATGTAAACAGTAATGTATGGTTTTGTAAAGGGATATTAAACATTTACAAGTAATATTGAACAAAAAGCCCTCCTGCATTGCCTTTCTAATGTATATGATCAGGGACGGACTGACCATTTGGAAACTCGGGCACTGCCCGAGGGCCCGGGGTCAGTAGGGGGCCCCATGAGATGCCCCTGGTACCTTTTTCATAGGCTTTTTTGAGTTTGGGCAAGGACACAGGGGCCCCATGATCCCCTATTGCCCGGGGGCCCCATGAGTTGTCAGTCCGCCCCTGGTTCTTACTTTTTTCTCTATCAGACTTTATGATTGTACCCAGGGGTGGACTGACCATTAGGAAACTAGGGCACTGCCCAAGGGCCCAGGGTCAATAGGGGACCCCATGAGATGCCCCTGGTACCTTTTTCATAGGCTTTTTTGAGTTTGGGCAAGGACACAGGAGCCCCATGATCCCCTATTGACCGGGGGCCCCATGAGTTGTCAGTCCGCCCCTGGTTCTTACTTTTTTCTCTATCAGACTTTATGATTGTCAGTCCGCCCCTGTACATGATACTCAATTTTAGACAAAGCATGAAGAATTTTTAAAATGAGGCAAGCAGGTATAAAATTGCCTCACATCCACCAACAATAGGCTCCCATTTGACGATGCTGATAGGAAATGCAGTAAACTATACTTCACACTAGTCAGATTAGAAAGCAAATATGTATACAGGGACCACATGGAGCGGTCATTCATATGGCCTTTATATTTCTGTCAATATTATTGTTGTTTTTTGTGTTTTTTTTTGTTTTATGTTTTTTTCTTTAAATCCTTATTGATCCTAGATTGTAAGCTCTAACAAGCAGGGCCCTCTGTTTTCTCTTGTACCAAATTGTATTGTAACTGTACAGGGGAGGACTGACAACTCATGGGGCTCCCGGGCAATAGGGGATCATGGGGCCCCTGTGTCCTTGCCCAACCTCAAAAAAGCCTATGAAAAAGGTACCAGGGGCATCTCATGGGGCCCCCTACTGACCCCGGGCCCTCGGGCAGTGCCCGAGTTTCCAAATGGTCAGTCCGCCCCTGTAACTGTAATGTCTCCCTTCATTTTGTAAAGCGCCACGCACACTGTTGGCGCTATATAAATCCTGTATAATAATAATAATATTAATACAATATAGTCTGCCTTTGCTAACCTCCTGAAAAGGCTATCTGTGTGGGTGTCTGGCTTCAATACCTAACATATCATTAAGGCTACTTGCACACTGCTCTGTATCAAAAATGCAGGTGCGTTTTTCTGCGTTGCATTAATTTAAACGCAATGCATGATTAGTTTTTTACGCATTTGTGTTGCGTTTTCTTAATATCACTTCCCACTACTAATGCAATTTTCATAAAATTTCCAGTAGGACTATGCAGTGTGACTTGCTTGTTGTTTTGATGCGACCTCAATGTGACTTTAGAAGTCACGTCACCATAGATAAGAAGCATTCCTATGACTTTGATGGATAAGTGTTTTTTTAATCCTTACCTCTCCTCCCTAGTCATCCTTGCTGCCTAAGGGTGGCCATACACTATACAATTTTCTTGAGAATTTTGCTTTAGATTTACCAAAAACCATATAATGTGAGGTTAAACCTAAACAACACTTTCAGTTGTATCCAATTAGCTGGGCCCTTGCACTACATAATTGAAGGTAAATCTAAAGGAAATTGAGCAGAAATTGGACAGAAAATTGTATAATGTACGGCCAGCCTAAGGC